GAGATATAATGGTTGCTTGATTTTCTCTTGTTTTGGAAAATTCTGAATCTTCATCAACCTCCTTGATTTATGTCCTTGTGAGGCCTCCGTCACGTGCACACTGACCTCCAGAAATCTTGGGCACGAATCTATGGCTTGGGCTTGGACCTCCGAGATTTCATCTTGACATTCGGTGGAACCTCGTGTCCTTTGAGTTTTTAGAATTCTAGAGTTGGCTGACCATTCGCCAAGGTGGGTGGAATGGGAACTACAAATATTTGGATGTTGGGCTTGGCCCCACATTGAACTATCTTTGAGTTCTCAAAGTATTCGAATATTGGGAACTCGATGGACATACCTCTCGGCGAACTTCAACTCCCTCGCCCCAACTTTGCTTGCCCAAGTGTTGTGAGGAGGGTGCCAGGGTGCACAAGGAGAAAATTAGCCCCGGCCCAGCTTTTTGCAAGAGGAGTGGCCGACCAAGGTATTTAAGTTTTACCCAGCCCAACTTTTTGAGAAGTGCCGGTCACTTTTGTAAAAGGAAGCATTTGGCCAATTTTGCAAGGATACGCCCGACCACTTTTGCAAAGGGAAGCGCCCGACCATATTTTTGAGAAGGCGCCACGGCCTTTGAAGAAAACACCTCGACGGCATTTTTGAGAAAGCCCCTTGGCTGCTAGGAATTCTCGACAGTTGGGAATTCCGCCACTAGGAATTCTCCGCCGCTAGGAATTCTCGACAGCTAGGAATTCTAGGCCGCTAGGAATTGGGCCATTAGGAATTCTCGGCCACTAGGAAGTCCTCCTTGGCGGATTGGGTGAATTTTGACCACCCCCAAAACAAGTCGGTACATCTTGGCGCAAGCCCTTTTTACAATCTAAAGAAACTTGTGCAACACAATCTAACAATTTATGTTTCCTTCCTTGTCAACCTCTAACATACTTAATACTTTCCCTAATTTTCCCCAATGAATCATCAATGTGTTTTAACCCATCTTGCACTATCAAGTTCAGAATGTGAGCACAACATTGAACATGAAAAAAGTTCTCATTCATTAATAGTGCATTCTTCAAGTTAAGCTCCTCCTTTAACAACATAACAAAAGCATCATTTGAAGATGCATCCATAGTCGTTGAGAAAAGTTTCTTTTCCAACCCTGAACTAGTCAACAACATATAGATTTTTTCACACAATGCAACACCGCTATGAGGAGGAGGCATAAAACTGAAATTCAAAAATCTTTTTAGCATCAACAAAATGGACAGTGAGAGAAAGATAACCATATGCGGTTATAGAACTCCACAAATCAGATGTCAAACAAACTCTTCCAGGAATTGAACCCAAAGGTTCCTTAAGCTTAACCTTTTCTCTATTTTACATACTCAACACATCAGCCCTTGCAGTATTTCTAGATATCAATTTGATATCAGCACAAATGTAATTAAACTTCCCTAATTCCAGCATACTCAACAAATTGAAAGGGCAATTCATGCATGATAATTGCCATCACTATTAATTCACGGAATTTATTAGGATCAAACTTAGCAGACCTTCTTATCATAGACCCTTCAGATTTAGATAATAATAACTGGCCCAAATCGCGAGTATCAGATTTCAAACAAGAATCAAGATGATGCTTCAAATTTCCA